ACATACTGATTTACAGCCCTGACCGAGCACAGCACTTACAGGACATCGACGCAGTTTTTTAAATCCTGAGTGAGAACCGCCTCCTGACCAAAGCGTCTAAGTGTGAGTTTTTACAGGACCGCGTGGAATTTTTGGGACACGTTATTTCAGCTGTAGGAGTGGAAATAGACCCGAAGAAAATTGCGACGATTCAAGCATGGCACGTGCCGACCAACTTGACCGAGTTGCAGATTTTTTTGGGGTTCGTCAACTACGTGCGCCGGTTCGTCCCCGACATGGCGAAGCTGACTGCCTCGTTGTCTGACCTGCTGAGGAAGGGGGTTGAGTACACGTGGGGGGAGAAAGAGCAAGCTGCCTTCTCGGCCCTCAAAAACATTTTGTGCTCACCGCCCGTGCTTCACATCGCAAATCCACACCGTCTGTTCGAGCTCGTCACTGACGCAAGTGACATCGCTGTGGGAGCAGTACTGTTTGTCAGTAGATCTGCACTGTGGATGCCCGATTGATCCTGGAGAGGGTTACAGGCGCGTTCGCCTGGGGGGTTATGGGCGCACTGACCCGCTACTGAAACAAGCCCTTTTATCCCAATGGTCTAGTAGTTGGGATTCTGACATGGTATCAGAGCGGTCTCGGGTTTGATTCCCGGTGTATGCACATGTAGGCCGTTGCCGCTGTGCTTAGTCCTGGGCCTCCCAGTGTGGGGGGGTGTCAGTAGATCTGCACTGTGGATGCCCGATTGATCCTGGAGAGGGTTACAGGCGCGTTCGCCTGGGGGGTTATGGGCACACTGACCCGCTACTGAAACAAGCCCTTTTATCCCAATGGTCTAGTGGTTGGGATTCTGACACTGTTGCAGGATTTCGGGAACGGCCTCCAGCCAATCGCGTACGAGTACCGCAAGCTGCACCCGCCCGAACGCAATTACCCGATACACGACCGCGAAATGTTGGCAATCGTGCACGCGTTCAAGGTTTGGCGGAGTTACCTGACTGGCGCTGACGTGACAGTACGGACAGACCACCGATCACTACAGTACTTACGCGCCCAACCGAATCTCAATCCAGGACAGATTCGCTGGTTGGACTACCTCGAGTCCAACTTCCACTACACGGTTACGTACAAGAAAGGCGCATCCAACATCGCCGACGCACTCACCCGCCCTACCGCCCAACTCCACGCCATCCTACTCGCCCAGACCAACCCACTTTTAACAGGCCTATTTACCCACGGATACCGCACTGACCCATTCTTCACGACCGGAAATTCACAGCAACTGGCAGAAGCTAAAGGAGTTTATTACTTCAAAACAGGCACCAACCGCATCTGGGTACCCGCGTTCTCACTACTGAGGGAGCTACTACTGCAGGAGGCACACGACGGAATTACCTCGGGACATTTTGGGGTAGAAAAAACGCGACAGCAACTGCAGTGGTATTACTACTGGCCAGAGGTGTTGACCAACGTACAGCAGCACGTAGGCTCGTGCCCCACGTGTCAGGTGATGAAGAGCTCAAGAAAGCGGAAGGCGGGTCAATTGCAGCCGATACCACCGCCCGAGCGCGCCTGGCAGCAGGTTACCATGGACTTCGTCACAGGGTTACCTTCGAACCCTGGGGGTAACGACGCGGTGATGGTCGTCGTTGACAGGTTGACGAAGATGGCACACTTTGCTGCGTGCAAAAAGTCGATCTCAGCCGAGGAAACCGCTCGTCTGTTCATCGCAGCCGTTGTTCGCCTGCACGGGATACCAGCAGCGATTATCAGCGACAGGGACGAGAAGTTCACCAGCAACTTCTGGAAAAACCTCTGGGAGCAGTTCGGAACCAGGCTGCAGTTCAGTTCGTCGTACCACCCCGAGACCGACGGTCAAACGGAGCGGACGAATCAGACGATGGAGCAGTTGATTCGTGCCACGTGCGATGACCCCACGACTTGGGAGCAGCAGCTGCCGCTGATCGAGTTCGCGTACAATAATGCCACGTCAGCGACGACGCAGCAGTCCCCCTTCTACCTGAACTACGGGCAAAATCCTACAGTGCCCATGACGCCGAGTCCGGACAACCCAACACCACGAACACAGCAATTCGTCGAAATTCTGCACGCTGCCCGCACCAGAGCCGCAGAAGCAATTAAAAAAGCAAACGCCATCGCTAAGCGCAACGCTGACCGCCACCGCAGTCACATACCAGACAGGGGATTACGTACTGCTCGACACGCAAAATCTGCGACTGCCCGACGTACCAAAACTTCGACCGCGCTACTGTGACCCATTCCAAATCAGCCACATGATCACGCCAGTAACCGCGCACCTACTGTTACCGACCGACTAGTACATCAGCCCTTCGTTCCATGTCAGCTTGCTTCGCCCCTACATCCCAACCACAAGCCAACTGCCTCGTCGCCACCGCCCGCCATCCATAACTCGCCCTGCATCGGAGCCGATCATCGAGCCCGAAAAAATCCTGAGCCATCGGATTCGACACCCCACGGGACTCAAGAGGATTGAATTCCTCGTCCGCTGGAAGGATCGCACGCCAACTGAGGACAGATGGGTGCCCCTGGCCAACATCGAAAACCACCCTGCCCTGCAAGTGTACCTGAGGAGCCGGGGATTCCGCGATATGCACGCACTCGCGTAGCGGAGGGGGCTTCTTGAGGGGGGGGGGGGGGGGGGGTAGTGTAAGGAATTTTCTCGGCACTCCTTACGGAGCCTGACTACATCGCGTAAAGCAACAGCCGTTGTTCGCCCGTTACTGCTAACGGGGCTTCGCCGACTTCGCGCACACTGTTTTCACCAAACCTCGCACTGCTGGAATGGCCGTGTCGGCCTACGCTTCGGGACTAGCCCAAGCCTCGCTCCAGCGCAGCACTAGCTAGCTCGCACGCACCGCGTTACCGTTTGCATGTTTCGCGTATAAATGTTCGCTCATGCCTTTGCTCACATTTTGTACTCGTTTGACACCTTAGTGCAATTCTCGCTACTTCGATTCATTGCACCCGTAACACCTTGTCAGCAAACCGGCGGTTCGGGCCGTGAGGGCGGCGGCTTTGACGAAATGTCAGGGTCCCGCGCAATTCGGTTGGACCAACGGCTAGCAGAAGTACCTGACCTGACCCGAACCGCCGGTGTTTCCTCCCCTCACACCACCACCTTGGCTGGGTTGCACAGGATGGTTGACAGGAGGGACTCCATGAAGCAAGGCGGAATCATGTGAGCCACATCCAGGATTCAGCAGAAACGAGTGCGCAGGTTTACCACAAAGGAGTTTGCGAGTCTTTCCACAATTTGAATAACTATTTTTTCCCTGGTTAGTTTTCACTGACTGTTCGTCTTCAGACCCTTGCAGACTCATAGGAGCAGGAGTTGGTGGGCTCCCACGGAGCCAGAGCTGCTATAGTCGTGACTTGTTATTTGTTCTTATTCGAGCAGTCAATTGGAGAGGTAGCGCAGGAAGCCGGTTAAAGCTCGGTTGAAGCGTAACGAGCGTGACGTCTTTAGCCTACACTTGAACGTCGTTTTAAGGGAGTAGTTAGCTGGCTTCCTAAAGTAATTCGCAGCTAAACGTCTATTTGGTAGCAGTATCAAACATCTCTGCTGGACTTTCACCGCCAGTTGATTTCAGAGATAGACATCCGTGTCTATTGGAGTCAAAGCACGCTATTCTCTGAGAAGCATCGAAACCGTGGGCTGGCTGAAAGATGGGGCTACTGTTGTCGAAGATCAGTCCTTTAGAGACTATCGAACATGTAAGTGGGAAACAATTTTAATAATCGCTTGCTGTTTTGCGCTACCTTTTGGCAAACGAATTTCAGTAAACATTCAATTTCAGCAGAAAATCGCATTTGTTGAGTGTCGTAACTTTATCAGCATCCACTCGTTCGCTCTTACCGTTATCTCGCCCTTTTCCGTGTGACATTCTCGGTTCAGGCGAAGAAGCATCGAGCAGAGCCAGTGGTGTTGTCGGTATTGAGAGAGAACCTCGGGTAAGCTGCCCAACCGTTTCTAGTTCTTTCAACCACTCCTTTCCTGCACAGTCCTACTGGTCAGATTTCAATTATTGTGACTGACACTAAAATTTATAACCCCTCGTCTCGCTGCTCCCCGTTTTTCCTGTTTTACGCCCTCAGCAATGCGCACAACTCGGTCACTCTCTTCCCAGCGCGCGGCGCCATGAGCCACGACCGCCTTGTGTACTCGGGAGACCTGTCAGCCGAAGACTTCAGAGCTGTTAAACAGGTGAGGGGAAAAACTTCAAAGCCGGTAATCGTGTGAGACAAGGAACTTCACGCTTATTTGGTGAGAGCCACGTACAGGAAGACTTCAAGTGGTTGAGGAATAGGCAAACGGAAAAACATTAGGGCCGGAAGGGCGAGAGGGACGACCCCGCGGCGTAAGACACACGAAGAGCGAGATTTAAGAGCCATCGGACAGGTGAGGAAGCGTCGTACAGAGACTTCAGAGCCTTGGTAAAGAAAAATCAAGAAGAAAGCAGGTCGGGGGAAGGCGAGAGGGATGATTAAATGGCTGCTGGGTTGGGTTTGGGGAGTGTGAAGGTGATAAGTGGTTGGTGCCACATGGACGGATGTCAGAGCTGACTTTCATTCTCATTGTTGCTTCACACCATCAAAAGCAATCCTGTGCTCGGTTCTACAAGCCCTGTTCCATTTCCTATTGTTAAAAGTGAGTTCGCTATGGCTGCAGATTCGCCCCCTATTGCGCCTGGAGTATCTCCGAGGTCAAAATGCGGCGAACATCAGGGTGCGTGTTTCCTGTGGGTGTGGATGTGTAGTCTTGTCCTTTTTTTCCGTGCTCTTCTATGACCGATTCCCAAGGCGGCTGATGGAATGATGGTCTCTGGTGATCCTCCTCTGATCGCAACAAGAGATCAACTGTGTTATTAGCTTGCTTCTTGGCGGCCCCACCTCAAAAGCAGCTTACTGTTCATTGTTGCCTCACTGTGCTCTTGTCGTTCTAATGCTCTTGTTGTCTGGGAATGCAGCACGGTTTGACGGGAGAGGTTCTTATGATGGTGGTGACAGAGGCGAGTGACGGCGAGTGGAACCAAAGGCCAGGATTGAGTTTCAGGTGTGGGCCGGAGACCGAGGCTCGAGTGTACAGCAATGGGCTGCCAGTAGGAATCAACATCTCCAGCAACTACCTCGCGATCTCCCCACCCCCAGTCCAGGTAGGCTTGCCATCAAAACACTCACAGTGTACACCTTCAGGCAGCCATGGTTTTCCTGGAACGTTGCATGTAAAGGATGCAAGATGTATGCTCTCGCCTTGTGTCTGGCCTTTTGACACATTCGTCTTTGTGTGTGTGGTTTTAATTTCTCCCATGCAGCAAGATGGGTCTAATTTTGACTTTGGTCCATCCATGGTCGAATTGGTGAAGACATGGGAAAATCGAGCTCTGGTGCTGTCGCACAGGGAGCCTGGTGGCTATCCTGGGGCTAAAGTAGCTGCTTTCACTAAAGTGGGGGGTCACCGGGTATCGGTCTTCCGTTCGCTGGATAAGGGGGCCTTGGATCCAATCGTCGCCATTGCCCTTTCTTGGTTCAATGATGTCGAGACAACTTTGTGAGGACACAGCCACGTCGGCGAATGAGGGACGAAGGTTGCGATTAGACGGGGATAATTATGCTGCTAGCTAGTTCTTAGAAAGTACAGTTTGAGTTAGGTCCTTTGCCCAAGGGCCACGTAAAATGTTTTGTCTTCCTCTTTTGTTTCTTTTGGATGGTATCCACCCCTATCCCAGTAGTGAATAAAAATAATTTGTGGGCCTTCCAAGACGAGTACCATACCATCCCAGATTTATGTCTCAGAGCTGTTATTGTTTTTGTTCCAAAGTAGAGTTGTCACATACAGTGTTCGTGCCTACGTTTGACAGTGCTAAGCATACGATAAGAGCATTGACGTGCGTCCTCAGTCTTGAAAGTGCTGCAAACGAATGATGCAGAAACGCTTTTATTTTTCCGAGCCAGAAAGCAGCTTCGCAACAAGAGATGCTCGTTGCTGCTGGTAACACTTATCAGGTTCGACATGTTTCAGCGAATAATAATGGAGGCAGGAGGCCTCCATCCCCTGACCTTCCCCGCTTGCTTTGCTTGCTTCCTTGGTTCCTGGTGTCCAGTCCAGGGTTCCCCTGGTTTCTCATGGTTTCCTGGTTCCGACGCTTGCCCCTGGCCTTGGTTTGAGGTTGACTGGATAGAGTTCTGCTGGTCAGGCTTTTGATTCTACGCGCAAGTACTGTAATTCCAGGCTACGAATATTCGCGCTGTGGGGCCTCCCACAGCTTAGTCCAGATCAAAGCCATTAGGGTTTCTTAAACGGAGTTGTCTCCTTAAGAGGCAGCCATGGGGTCCGAGCCCGTGATGGACCTGTTTAGGTCCGAGGAAATGCAGCTGATGCAGCTCATTATTCCCGCGGAAGCGGCGCATGACACTATTTCTTATCTCGGAGAGCTTGGCCTCGTCCAGTTTAAAGACGTAGGGTCCTAGCTGAGCGTTTTCCCCGCCGTTTACGGGTTGCGCTTTGTAATCGATTTTGTTCTCAGTAGGAGATAGCTCATATCGACATTTCCGCCTCACTTCTCTCTCCGTGCTTCACGTCTCTCGCAGATGAACCCGGACAAGAGCCCGTTTCAGCGGACATATGCGAACCAAGTGCGTTTCTTCTTTCCTCCTCTTGTCACAAACGACTTTCACCTGTCTATTATTTCATGCCTTAGATATTGGAAATGGCGTTACCATCGCTGATCTGTTTTTTCTGTCTTCGTTGTGATCGCTGCATCAGGTCAAGCGATGTGGCGAGATGTCTCGCAAGCTGCGGTATCTGAAAGAACAGTCGCTGAAGGCCGGAATTCTCCCTACCCAACCTCGGACGCTCGACAAGGATCTCGACCTGGATGATCTCGAGGTCCGTCGTCTTAGACGGAAAATGTAGACGGAGACGAACCGACCTTCCATATTGTCGGAGCAGTTTATTTATCCAACATTACGACAGACCTCTGTATATTTCTTTGATGGATTTTTGTATTTGAGAGTCGATGCCAATGTCGTGGATGCTCGCATTCTTGCTTATCGAGTGTTTTCCTTCTCGCTTGCCTATTCGCTTGCTTGCTTGCTTTCTTGCGCGTGTTGCGGTGCAGCTGAAGTTGAACGATCTGGAGGCGGAGCTGCTGGAGATCAACGGCAACGCGGAGAAGCTGCTCAAGACGCGCAACGAGCTCACGGAGCTCAAGCTCGTTCTGGAAAAGGTGCGAGCTATGCCGATAAGGTGACGACAAAAGGGATCGATAAGGTGCTGATGAGGGGTTGATAAGGGGTTTGATAAAGGTTGACAAGTTGCTGGTGGGGTGGGAGGGGATCGGGGTCGAGGGGAATGGGATGGGATGGATTAACACTGTTGAAGCGCTTCTTAAATCGCGCGTTCGGTTCGAAGTCATGGATCTCTGAATGTCGCGTGGTCGTCCTGGAATAGTCGTAGGTCGATGTCGTTCACGATAATGCGCGACAGTGTTGATCCATTGTATGGTGTACCGCTGTGGACAATGTGGGCTGATCCATTCCCGTCCTTCATGCATCCCGGACTTTTTCCTTCCTCGGCTGAACTTCAGTCCTCTCGTCCCTTGGTATCCCCACTCACTGCTCCTGCTCTCATCCGTTGATGGTCGTTCTGTAATAACTTACTCTCATCCAACGCCTAGATCCACGCCCTAGGTCTTGTCGCTGTTTCCCCGTCACTTCATCTCCAAATATTCCTGTGGTAGTTAACGTTTTTTTTTTTGGCTATCCCTCTCTGTTTCTGATTCTTTGCTTGCGACGCCAGGCGGGGTCGTTTTTCGCGAGCGCCCAGATGGGCGCGGCGGACTATCAGCGGGAGATCGTGCGCGTGTCGTCCATCCGCGAGAGCGCATCCATGGACAGCCCTCTCCTGCTCGAGCAGGTGCGCTTAGCGTAGGATGCACTTTTTCCTCTCCTCGCTTCGCCTTCTTTTTATTGTCTCGCTTTACGCTCAGATGAACACCCTGCCTGCGCGCTTCTCGCCATTTCCCCCTCCTCCGCCCCTGTTTCCAAGGAGATGGCTTCGGATTCGAACAAACGCCTCCTCTTCGGCCAATACTCATTCTGCGCCTCTCCACCTCCTCCCTCCCCCTCTCTCCCTCTCTCCCCTTCTCCCGCTCTCCCCATCTCTCTCCCCCCTTTCTTCTCTCCTCCCCCTTGCTGTCACCAGGAGATGGCGTCGGACTCGAGCAAGCGGCTGGGCTTCGTGACGGGGCTGGTGCCGCTAAGCAAGGTCGTGACGTTCGAGCGGCTGCTGTTCCGCGCCACGCGCGGCAACATGTTTCTCAAGCAGGAGGTCGTGGACGAGCCCGTGCTCGACCCCGCCACCGGCGAGCAGGTGAGCTGGCGGGCCTGGGTGGGAAGGTCGCTGGTGCACAGCTGCGGGTGCACGGTTGCGGATCCATTGAATGTGGACAATCTTTCCGCGCCACGCGCGGCAACATGTTTCTGAAGCAAGAGTCGTGATCGAGCCCGTGCTGGACCCCGCCCCTGGCGAGCAGGTGGATTTGTCTTTCAAACCTCCCAAGCGGCTCTTCGTCATGCAATCTCTTCTGGTGCCCTCCCTCTTCCCAACCTTGTTTCCCCCGCGCGCTGGTGGAGAAGGTGGTGTTCTTTTCGTCTCGGGCGATCGCGCGCGCACCAAGATCGCGACTCCTTTTTACTCATTCCAACCCCCTCACATGATCTACGTTCTCCGCCTCTCCCCTCCTCCCCCCCCCCCCCCCCCCCCTCTCCTTCCCGCCGAACCCTAATCGTGTTCCCCCCATGCGCGCAGGTGGAGAAGGTGGTGTTCGTGGTGTTCTTCTCGGGCGACCGCGCGCGCACCAAGATCATGCGGATCTGCGAGGCCTTCGGCGCCAACCGCTACCCCTTCCCCGAGGAGCCCGCGCGCCAGCGCCAGATGCTCGCTGAGGTGCGTGCGCTCGTGCCACGCCACTGCACTCAGGGGACCTTGGTCTCGACTCAGGGGTTGTGATTCACCCTCTTAGGGAAGGCATAGTGCAGAAGATGCTCTCTGCGATGTGCCCTCGTCCATTCCACTTTCCCCCCTTCCCTCAGCCCCCTTTTTTTTCCGTCTTCCTCCGCTTCCACCTTTCCCCACCCGCGCCCCCTTATCCTCAATCTGCACTCTCTCGCTTTATTTTCCCCCACCCTTTTCTCTCGTTCCCACACTTCGCCACTCTCCTTCGCTTTTCGTTCCTTGCACCACTTCACGTTCCGTGTTCCTGTGAGGCGTCCTTCGCGCCCCCTCGCGTGCACCTTCGCGTCAACCCCTTTCTCTCCTAAATCGTTCTCTTCCCTCGTTCGTTCGCTCTCCCCCTCTCCGCCTCCTGCAGGTGCGCGGGCGGCTGGGGGAGCTGCAGACGGCGATAGACGCGGGCAACCGCCACCGCGACAACGTGCTCAACAGCATCAGCGTCTACGTCGACCGCTGGACCTCGCTGGTCCGTGCATGCGCCATTCTGAACCCCTTTGCAGCTCTCTGCACCTTTCCGCTCATCTCTGGGTCTCTCGGGTTCTTTCTGGGTCTCTTCGGGTTTCTGGGCCCCGTTCACCCCTTCTCCCGTCTGTCTTAGTTAGCGCATTTTTCGAAAATCTCCGGTCTTTCCTTTTCGTGGATCTTCACCCATCCACGCGTCTTTACCCCTTCGCCCGTCTTCCCGCTCCTGCGTGTTTGTTATCACGTGCACAACGAGAAGGGGACGTATCATGCTGTCAACTTGCTTCCACCCCCTCATTTCCTCTCGTTTCCCCTCGGTTCCCCACCTTCAACCTCAACCCCACTTGCATTCCCCGTCACCGAAAGTTGGTGCTCCCTTACCCGCTAACAGTTCTGCCCTCCCCGGCTCTCCCCTCGCCCGTCCCTTCCCAATCCCTCTTCTCCCATGCTCCACCACCAGGTGCGCAATGAGAAGGCAGTGTACCATCCGCTCAACCAGCTCCATTCCCTTTCGCCTTTCCGACCCCCGCCCCTCCCCTCCCCTCCCCACTCCCCACTCCGCTTCCCCCATTCCCACCCCCCCACCACCAGGTGCGCAACGAGAAGGCAGTGTACCACGTGCTCAACCAGCTGTCCATTGACGTCACGCGCAAGTGCCTCGTGGCCGAGGCCTGGTGC